GGGAGGCGCGAAGCGAGATCTCGCGAGAGGTGCGGGGCGCGCGCGGCCGCCCGTCACCTGAGGGGAGCGGGGCGGGACCCCCGGGCCGGACCCTCCGCGCTGGTCGCTCCCTCAGGGGCTGGCGGGGGGCCCTGCAGCCCTTCCAGCGCCTCAAAACACCTTAACAAAACACAGCCCGAGCCGCAGATACCTGAACAACAACTGCCTCGGGTGCCCGGAGGCGCTGAGGAAAACACGGACGCGCTCGCGCACCTCAGGCCCGCAGGCACGAACCGCCCCAGCCACGGCGACAGGATGGAAATCACGTTTATTGGGAGGAGATACAAAGACAGCAAACTTTTACCAAGGAGCTGCTCGGCTGCTGATGCCTGCGCACAGGGGTGTGTGTGAGGTGTGCAGACCTAGCTGCACAAGCCAACAAAAGCGTTGCTATAAGCATCTAAGTGCTTTTTTGAGGAAAAAAAAGCACATATTCATCAGATACAGATGCGTAGAGTACGCCCGTGTGATGCGTTAGTACTCAATTGGCTGTATTTGGCGTTTTAAAAAAGATAAAGCCAAATCAAGCTTTCTAACAAAAGCTCCTTCAGGCACCTTCTAAATAAACATTTCTTGGCGCAGAGTTACATGTTTTCCACCTAAGGTTTTGACGTGTTAAGAAGAGGTTTCCTCTCACAAAGCTGCGTAGGGGCTTCCAAACATGCAGACAGGCTGCCGTCCCTTAGGAGTTCTTCTGTGGAATTTTGACTGCCACCTAGGAAAAAAACAAAAGTCACAAGTTATTTTCCTAGAGACAGGGCACAGTTATGGTCACTTGAAGGCAGGGGGCCAGCAGCATCCTGCAGAAGAGGATGAGGAGAGGCCAGAATAACCCAGTCAGCCGTCACTGACTGGGATCACCTTGGACTGGGGACCTATCTGGAAGGCTTGAGGAGAGGGAGAAGCTCAAAGGCTGAGTCTCAGCATCTCTCCAGAGATGCTCTTTGAGTGGTGTGAGCTGGCACCTTGTTTCTTCTCACCCAGAGCTCCTGCACCTGCTCTCCACAAAATAAACTCACAGAGAAGTCCCCACACTCGTGTTCTTTACAGTGAGAAACAGCTACATGGCACAAATATCGTGTAGAGCTACAGCAGAGGGTTGGGAAGACCTTGGATACAAGGATACTCACATTTTTCACCTCTACATAGGCTTCCAGACCGTATTCTCCCAGCTCCCGCCCAATCCCAGAAGCTTTGTAGCCACCAAATGGGGCTTGTGCACCAAACACATTGTAGCAGTTCACCCTGAAATGGAAACCAAGAGTGAAGCACCTGCAGTTTCAGAACCACACACACAAAGAGCCCTCTCACAGCCAATGGACACATCTGCTGCTTACAACAGAGAGATGGCTGAATTCCTTGAATTCCCAGGCAGGATTTCTACATCTGTCAGTTCTCTCAGCCAACAGAATTAATCACGACTGGGACTTTCTCCTCATCAACCAGGAAACAGAACATCACGACATCAATTCACGACTCTCATTACTACAGGACCAAGCGTCCAGGCTGCCACCCACAACTCTTTCAGAGGACAGACACCAGAAACACCTACTTGTTCACTCAGTACCATTAGGGAAAAGAAAATAAAAATAATCAGATACTGGCTCTCCAATATCTCTCGTGCTAGAACAGTAAACTGGTGTTGAAGCCCTGACTTTGGCGGAGTTTTCAGCATGGCCTCAGAACCCAGAGGAACATCAGCAGCAGCCAAGGCTGTTCAGAAGTGCTGAGGGATTTGATGGCTGCTGGCACTCACAGCCCTGCAGCAGTTCCTGTCACTGCCAGCTGCAGTGCTGGATTTCTCCCCCATCCCATCCACTAGCATTCTCCCCCATCCCCATTCCCACAGAGGGAATCACAGAAGCTCAATATGCCTAAATTTGACCAACATTTAGTGTTACAACTGAAGGTCTGATGCTACATCCAGCAAAATGCACTTAACGTTGGATGCAAAGCAGAGACAGGCTATTAAGCAGCAAGTTTAGTGAGACATGGCAGCACCCAAGGAAGCTTCCAGCAGTTGAGGGAGAAGCAAGTGTCAAGGCTCACCAAACTGTTCCAGCACGCAGGCTCTGTGACACATAGTGTGCTTTGTCAAGATCCTTGGTGAAGACCGCGGCTGCCAGGCCGTACTTGGAGCAATTTGCTCTCTCAATGACTTCCTCAATTGTTTTGAATTTCAGAATCTGCATGACTGGGCCAAATATCTGCAAAATCCAAACAGAGCATGTGAAAATCCCTGTGAATTCATCACAAGGGGGGCTGTGGTTGATGCTGGGTTTATGTGTCTATGGCAGCACAGAGGTCACCAAATTCCCAGAATCACTTCCCGTATTTCAAAGCACCCAGGGTGCAATCAGGGGGGCAGTTTAATGAGGCAACTCCCCATGAAGCATTGAGCTTCACAGTTTTGCATCAGAGGGGACAGAATGACAAAGAAGTGAGATGGACAGAAAGGGGCTGCAGGTCTCACCTCCTCCCTGGCAATGGTCATGCTGTCCTGCACATCCCCAAAGACAGTTGGCTGGATGAAGTAGCCTCTGTCTGCAGCGGGGTTGCCACCACACATCAGCTTGGCTCCTTCTCGCTTCCCAGTGCTAATGTAACCCAGGATCTTCTTAAACTGCTCCTCATCAACCTAGGAGCCATAAGGACAGACAGATCAGCTTCTCCTCCACTGGGGGTGAAAAGGGATTCAGCCACACTCTGCTGTGCACACCATGGTGCTCTGCCAGTTCCTCATTTCAACAGCCTGCCAAACTGGCTTCGAGGGAGATGATAATTTTTAAATGCCAGCATCAAGGGGAGGTTTTGGAATAATCAGAATGGTTAATTAACTTCTCCCTCCTGTACAAGCAAGGAGGCACTGGGCCTCTCCAAAGGAGATTAATCAAGGGAGAAAAGTGCACCTTTCATTCTAATCTACAGTGACTCAAGGTTGGAATTATTTCAGGAGGTGGCACTCCAGGACATTTCCTGCTCTTACCTGAGGCCCCTGTTCAGTTTTAAAGTCAAACGGGTTTCCAACCACCCTGGACTTTGCCTTCTCCACACTCCTCTCCACAAACTCCTGATAAATATCTTCCTGCACGTACGTCCGGGAGCCAGCACAGCAGCACTGCCCTTGGTTGAAGAAGAGGGCGAGATGGGCTTGATCCACAGCCCAGCCCACTGAGATTGGGGAGAAGAGACAAACAGGACAATCAGAGTCGGTAAGTGACTCCTTTTGAACAATTATCATGCAATTATCAGTGACACAAGGTCCTTCTGACAGGCATTGTCCACACTTCAGAAGTTACATACAGATTTAATCAGCATGAGGGTCTATGAAAACATACTAGAGAAAAAACAAAAACAAACATCTAATCTGAGGCAGATTACAGTTCTCATTTGAAATTACTAGGTATTGAGGACACATTATTTTAGATCTAGAAGCATTTCCCTCCTTCCTGCCATATAAAAGCTGGTGTGTTTGCCTCATCAAGGCCAAAAATGAGCCTATATGCGAGAGACAAGAGAACCAGATCTTCCTAAAACCTAGAGAGTGGTGTGCACGGAGACAAAGAAATGGCAACACAAAGAGGACTGAGGCTGAAGGAATATACTGGAACAATTCTCATCTCTGTTGATAATTGAACTTCTCCACAGCACTGGGAAAGATCGTGGGAGTGGAGAAGTGCTGATAACCAACCCGACAGTGACAGCAGGAGACACAGAGCCTCTCCCGAGCAAAGCAACCAGGAGCTGTTGCAGCTGGGGGCTCACACCCCACGGGAGGGTTCCTGCCCCTCCAGCTCTGCCCACAGGGACCCAGGGGGAAGGTACAGGTCAGATATTACACCAGCAGGTCCTTACTGTCAGCATCAGACATGATAATATTGGGACTCTTTCCTCCCAGCTCCAGTGTCACCCTCTTCAGGTTACTCTCTGCTGCAGCCTTCTGGATCAGATGCCCAACCTGCCTCGGGAGAAGAACAGGAATTAGGAATTAACTCCCACACACAGCACCATCTGGTAGGGACACTGCTGCTTTCAGACCTCAGTCAGCAGCTTAATAATAATCCCTTCATTGTCAGGGCTTTAAGTGAACAACTGAACTCTGACCAGAGCTTCACCAATGCAGTAAGAAGGAGCTCAAAGGAAGCAACAGGTTACTCTAAAGAAGGCACCTAAAAAGTTCTTACGTAAAAACAAATGTTACACCCTGAGTTCAGCCGTGGGTTTAAAAAAAAACAAGTGTAAAGGCAAAGCACCCCCAGTGGTGGGTACAGAAAAGGTATTCCAGCAGTGAGGCACTCTGTACCCACAGAGAAAGGTTAGGGTACCCCCCTCACCTCCGTGGAGCCGGTGAAGGCCACTTTATCGATGTCCATGTGGGAGGAGATGGCAGCCCCTGCTGTGGGCCCGTAGCCAGGGACGATGTTCACTACGCCTGGTGGGAATCCAGCCTGGTGGGTCCCAGCAGGAGAGAGCAACGTTATTCTTTTTACAGATCAAGGATTTCACCTTCTCTCACCTGTTAGTAGCACTTCAGTAGCACTCCCTATTTTCCTTTAATTTCCCAAGTCTTTAGTTTCAATGTTCAGTTGGCAAGAACCAGGACAACTCCTCTCCCCACCCACATCCTGAGCATAGCTTGGAGATCTGTATATCAGCTTTCTAAGTTTGCTGTTTAATTGAACCTCAAAGAGTCCTTCCCTAATCAAGATTTACATCCTCTGCATACACATTGAAAAGGGTTTTTTTGCTAAATCAAACACTAAGATAGCCAAGACAATCCAGGCTTTCCTGGGGTCAGACAGCCCTTCTCTGTTCCTGTCACATGCCCCTTGCAGCTCACGTCCCCAGCAGCCACAGTGGCTGGAAACCCACCAGCCTGCTGGCTCACCTCTTTAATCAGGTTAGCCACGTAGAGAGCAGTCAGGGGGGTCTGCTCTGCTGCCTTCATCACAACCACGTTCCCAGTAGCCAGGGCAGGCCCCAGTTTCCATGCTTGCATCAATAGAGGGAAGTTCCACTGAAAAAGAAGGAGGTGTTTGCTGTTGTGAACTTGAAAGCACCTCTGGAAGCAGTTTGTCATCCCTCCCCTTTGGCTCCTTTTCAAGCCCTGCCTTCTGCTTGCCCAGGAAAACTGTACTCTGAGATTTCACTGTACAACCCCAACTGTTTAAGAATTCATCTTTACTGTCAGTTTAGCTGTGAAAAGCTCTTTTGAGGTGTTTTGAAAGTTTTGAAAGTGTGATGACAGAGCAGTGTGCCCAGGCTGGTGAGGCAATTACATCCAGTCCTTGCTCAATTCAAGTATGAAAACCATACAAACACAGTAAGCAACAACCAGGACCTGGCTCGTCCTGTAACAGGTAACCCTGTCCAGGGACCGTGGTGTAAATGTGGCTTTGTTGTTCACAAACCACCTTGCCAGCAGCTTCAGAAACAGGATCAGGTACCTCAGGCTGCACTGTGCACACTATCCTCATCACACAGAATTCTGGGTTTAATGTTAGGCAATAGCTTAAACTTAATTGTGGTCCTGAGCCAGATAACTCCATAAAGGGATTTTAGGGGGTTTATTTTATTTCTTTTCCCAGCAGACACAAAGTAAATGTTACTCGGAGCCCATGAAATCAGCAGGTAGTTGCGAGTGCAAAGTAAGAGCCCTCCCAGCTGGCACAAGCATAACTTCCTTCACCACTGGAGGAAGCAGTGGTTAGGAACAGATGGTAACTTGCATTTTAAGCAATTCTTCATGTCAACACTGAATCCTTGAAATGCTTCAGGAACTACTGATACATTTTACTCACTGGAATGATCTGTCCACAAACTCCCACTGGCTCATGTCTTGTGTAACAGAAGTAGTCTCCATCTAACGGGATAGTTTTGCCATGGAATTTATCTGACCAGCCTGCATAGTATCTAGGAACAATACAGTTTTGGTCACTGAATTTAAAACAACAACTCTCTTGTCAACAGAAAATAAGAAAGACTTTCTTCAGTTATTTGCTTTCCTCCTTCAGTCTCTCCATAAAACCCATGCCAGTATCAGTATTTCCCAAAATGGTGATTTTAAGAATGGACAGTAAACACAAACATTTGTCTCTCCTTAACGAAACCAAGAGCTCAGATCCAGCCCTGTCACCCACAACACTTGACTCAGAGGTGTCTGGTCTCTTCAGGAGCAGAGGTTCAGCCACCCCAGGCCAGCTAAGCTGTCACTGCAGCTTCCATGCCTACCTGAGACATTTGACTACCATGTCCAGGTCCACCAGGTAGGCGATGGAGTAGGGTTTGCCATTATCCAGAGTCTCGAGTGCCTACAAAAGACCATGAGGTTGCCTGAAGAGCAAGGTGGGCAAAATCATACATACAGAGTTGATTTTCAGTCTGCGATTCGGGTTACTTCTGCATGTCAGCCTTTCAGCTTCCCAAAACTACTTCTTTTCAGCTCTCTCTCACAGTTTTAGATGTGAATAAAATCCCCATCACACCTGATGGCCACAAACCACCGTTTCTGCCCCCCTCTCCCCAGCTAGAGGGATGGCAGCAGAGCACTCAACCACAGAGTGATACCCACCGCCAGGTAGGCCCGGTCCCTCTCAATCAGGTCAGCAAGACGGTTCTCTCCATAAAACCCATGCCAGTATCAGTATTTCCCAAAATGGTGATTTTAAGAATGGACAGTAAACACAAACATTTGTCTCTCCTTAACGAAACCAAGAGCTCAGATCCAGCCCTGTCACCCACAACACTTGACTCAGAGGCATCTGGTCTCTTCAGGAGCAGAGGTTCAGCCACCCCAGGCCAGCTAAGCTGTCACTGCAGCTTCCATGCCTACCTGAGACATTTGACTACCATGTCCAGGTCCACCAGGTAGGCGATGGAGTAGGGTTTGCCATTATCCAGAGTCTCGAGTGCCTACAAAAGACCATGAGGTTGCCTGAAGAGCAAGGTGGGCAAAATCATACATACAGAGTTGATTTTCAGTCTGCGATTCGGGTTACTTCTGCATGTCAGCCTTTCAGCTTCCCAAAACTACTTCTTTTCAGCTCTCTCTCACAGTTTTAGATGTGAATAAAACATCACACCTGATGGCCACAAACCACCGTTTCTGCCCCCCTCTCCCCAGCTAGAGGGATGGCAGCAGAGCACTCAACCACAGAGTGATACCCACCGCCAGGTAGGCCCGGTCCCTCTCAATCAGGTCAGCAAGACGGGTCAGCAGCTTCCCCCGATGAGAAGCATCCATCCTCCTCCAGGGCCAGCCCAGCTGGAAAGCTGCCTTGGCTGCCTGAACGGCCTTGTCCACATCTGCCTGCAGAGGAGTCCAGACAAGAGCGTGAGAAAGCAGTCACCAGCCCCCACTCGCTCTCTCAAAATAAAGCTGGAGCCTTCACTGGTCTCCAGGAGAAAATAAGTGACTGCTAGTGCTGCTCTTCTGGGGAAAAGAACTTGCAGCCTCAACAGCTGCCTCACCAAGACACTCAGTTCCCAGGCAGGGATCACATGGGCTGTGGCCCCTGGGCCACTGGCCCCACGAGCACCAACCCGGGCAGTGCTGCAGAGCAGCACAGCCCCAGCACACGCTGGACTGGCTGCAGCTTCCTCACCCTGTCTGCATCTGTGGGGAGGAAGGAGGAGAAGAGGCAGTGGAACAGATGGGTGCAGCCACCATCTCCACCTGCACTTACACCCTCTGTTATTTCAGCCACGCAGAGTGCAAATATTGTCAAGTTATTCCTGCAGTGTCACCTGCTGGGTTAATATTTCTGTCCTAGAACAAGGCATGGATAAAGCTCCAGAGGTGTGGTTTTGACACTATGTCAGCATTTCATTTTGCCAGCACAGTCTAAAGGAGTTTTTTATCCTGATCAAATATATCTAATCCATCATGTTGTCCTGCCGGGCGTTACCTGGTTTCTACTTGGTTCTGTTCTGGCTTGCTGTGAAACTCTGGCCAGGACAAGCCAGTCTACCACGAATGAGCAAACAACAAAGGGTTCCCCTCACTCACCCCTCCCTTGGGGAATACAAACAAGTTTCCAGACAGTAGGAAGAACCCAAAATTGCTGGGAAATACCACCTGAGCTCGGCCACAGACTCCCAGGAGGGCCTTGCATAACGCATGGGATAATTACATGACTCTATTTCCCCCCACCTCTGTCTCTTTTAATTTCCTAGGGCTGGGGATGATCTCCCACTGCATGTGTACAGCAGAGAGGGGCTGTTCAGGTGAATCCTGACCTTGTGACTCCTCTGCCACCGTGTGTCACACCACCAGCACAGCACCCATGGGACCACAGAGGTGTCTATCCTCATCTCTGCCTGCCCCAGCACCCTCCACCCACAACTGCTCCCCAGCCTCCCAACTCAGGCTCCACAGCACACCATTTCTATTCCCCTCCACCCTGCCCTTTCCAGTCCCAGCTTGTCACTGGTGAGAGGCAAAGCCAGAGGGGTTTTGTGGAAAGCAGCAGGCTGGGAAGAACCCAAGCAGTGCTGAAGTATTTGTGAGGGTCAGACACGGCTGCAGACACAGCCCCTGGCAGAGCTGCCTGGGTGTCTCCCCCTGCAATCTTTGTGTACCTGCCCGGAGGGGAAACCAACTGGTCTCACCAGAAGGACACCTACCTTATCACCTTCAGCGACCTGACAGATAACTTCTCCTGTTGCCGGGTTGATAGTTTCACTGACTGCATCATGCCATTCGTTATTGATGAAAATCTGCAGGGAAAGCAGCAAAGCAGTGCTGAGCCTGAGAGCCAGCCCTGGGTGGAGGTGTGAGGAGATTCAGTTTGATGACGTTTTATCAGGCTGTTTAATTCAGAGGCTCAACTTGTGCGGGCTCCAAAACGGCACCAATGTTAAGGAGGTAATTTAGTCTCAAAGTACACAACAAAAGGCACAGCCTCAAGTCAAGATAAAGAATTCACATATCAGCAAACAGCACGTGAACTGGAAGCAGTTCCCCTCTCCGTAGGTCCCTGGGAGACCTGGAATCCTGGCTGGAGCTGTGCAGGGACACAGTGGCAGCCCTGGGAGACTGCCAGTGGGAAAACGCTTCTGGCATGGACAATACAGAGACTGAACAGTGTGAAAACGCTGCAGACATGGATGATAAAGTTGATTTTGTACAAAGCACTAGAGCTTTTGCAGCTTTTCCCCGATCAGCTGATTTTAGGTTCCCCATGTACCGTTCTGAAACAGAACCAGATGCCAACTGCAGCTTTTCACCAACTCTTTCTTTCTCAGCGAGGGGGAATTTGTTTGATCAGGTCCATGGCTAGAGGGTCTGGTGCCCGCCGGGCCCTTCCCCGTGCCAGGGCCGCTGGGAGGGAGCGCTGGGTGCCCCGGGACAGGATCCCCAGCACCCGCACAGGATCGCGCCGTGTTGCCCCAGGGCTGCGAGGGTCTGATCTCTGCAGGCAACCAGCACCGAGCCAGGCACCTTCACACCCTCTCTCACACTCTTCTCCCGGGATCGCCTGCAGCCCCGGCAGCCGAGGCC